AGATGGAGGGGCAGAACTTGGGATCAGGACTGGGATATTGGGAGTGAGAGACCACTCGAAGAGTCTCAAACCTTTCCTTTCGTGACTTTCTGTATTCCTTCACTAAATTTTCATTAATAAACTACTACTTTCTTCTTGGATTCTTCAGTTACTTATCACTCCCTTTCATAAACAGATCTGTTTTGGTTCCTCTTTGATAAAGTTTTGCTCATAAAGGCTATTGGCTTTCCCTCTTGCATTAGGACTGCTCCTAACCCTGTTCCAGAAGCATCAGTTTCCAAGGTAAAGATTTTGGTGAAATTAGGTTTTGCCATAACTGGTAAGGAAGTCATGGTTTTCTTCAATTCTTCAAAAGCTTGTGAGGCCTTTTCATCCCATTGAAAGCAATCCTTCTTTAGAAGTTGTGTAAGGGGCAATGCAATTTTACTGTACCCCTTAACATACCTTCTATAATAACCTGTCAGCCCTATAAAACCTCTTAACTCCTTCAAATTCTTAGGTGCTGGCCAGGTGACCATTGCTTCTATCTTGGTAGGATCAGCCCTTATTCCTTCTCCAGAGATAATATGCCCTAAGTAGATCAATTGAGGTTGCCCAAAGGAACATTTTTTTAGGTTAATCATCAACTGATTATCCCTCAAAGCAGATAATACTGCTCTTAAATGCTCCTTGTGCTCTTCTAGAGATCTACTATAAACCAAGATATCATAAAAAAAAACTAAGGCACATTTCCTCAAATATGGCCTTAAAACCTGGTTCATGAGAGCTTGGAAAGTAGATGGTGCATTTGTCAAACCAAAGGGCATCACTAAGTATTCATAATGTCCCTCATGTGTTCTGAAAGCTGTCTTCATCCTGTCCTCCTCCTTCATTCTGATCTGGTGGTAACCAGATTTCAAATCCAGTTTAGAAAAAATGTTGGCCTCCCCAAGCTCATCCAGTAGTTCCTCTATGACAGGGATAGGATATTTATCTGGAACAATAATCTCCACAGAACCTCCATCCACCATCTTTCTTCTTGGCTAGGAGTATTGGACTGCTGTATGGACTAGTGCTGTTTTGAATGATCCCAGAATCTAGCATTTCCTTCACAATCCTTTCAATTTCATTCTTTTGATAATGAGGGCATCTGTAAGGTCTAATATTAGGTATGGTAGCTCCTTCTTGAATGGTAATGGAATGATCACAGCTCCTGCTAGGGGGTAACCCCTCCAAAGGTTGAGATACTTCTGGAAATTCTGCCAAAATATGCTTCCACACAGGTTCTAGCTCCCCACAATTCTTCATGTTCAGTGTACTCCCTTCACAATATACAAAATAACCATTTCCATTGTCTTGTAAGATTTGTGAAATAGTCTTTAAAGACACTTTCATGGAATTCAATTTTGGATCACCCTGAATAGACAAACCTTGGCCCAACTGCTGCCACTTGATAGTTTGCTTTTGGAAATTAATTTCAACATCCCCTAGGCTAGTCAGCCACTCCATACCCAACACTACATCCGTACCTCCCAAACTGAGGATATAAAAATCCTGTTTAAGGTCTGTACCTTGCAATCTCAGTGTCAACCCCTCACATCTTCCATTGTTGACTATCTTTTCTCCATTACCAATTTGAACCTTGTAACTAGGTATGGTGTTAAAAGGTAATCCCAGTTGTTCTACCAGCCTTTGAGAAATGAAATTATGTGTGGCCCCACTGTCAATTAACACTTCTACCAACTGGTCTCCCTTTTCCCATTTCACAGTTCCCCTCACCTTGAAAGCCCTCATAGTAGGTATCCCTTCCCTACTCATGAGAGATAACTGCATTGATTTAGATTCCATTTCTACTGCCTGTTCAGGTTCTGTAACAATGGGACTGCCCTCATCAGGTATCTCTTCTCCATCTGAATCTTCAATTAACATTAACTTGTAGTTCTTTAGTTTACAAGTATGCTCCTTACTCCACTTATCCCCACATTTGAAGCACAATCCTTTTCTACTCCTTTCCTGAAATTCTTCTTGGGACAACTGAGGCCCTACCCTTCTAAATCCAGAAGGTTGAGCTGCAGGAAGCTTGTTCCCTACCTTATCACTCCCCAAATTGTTATTTTTGTGTTCTGTAACCAACTTATTCTGAAATGACCAAGGATTACCAGATTTTGTCTTGAAACCATCCCCTCAAGTCTGAGGTTTAACTGATGCAGATCCTTTGTCTCTTCCAACCAACTTGTCTTCCTCCTTCCTTTTCAAATAGAGTGCTTCATTCTTTTGTTCAATAAGTACAGCCTTATCCATAATCTCAGTTAAAGACCTGGATGTAAACAATTTCAACTCTGATTTGATTTCATCCTTCAGACCTGTCATGAAAACTCCTCGCAGTAATTCCCTGTCCAGAGTCAGCTGCGGAGCGATCACCATTTCAAATTCTTCTCTGTAATTCTTCACAGTTCCGGTTTGCTTCAAACTCAACAGCGGTCCATATGGAATTTGAATTAACTCCGGTTGGAATCTGCGAATGACAGATTTCTTCAAAGCTTCCCAAGTAGTTTCTTCCGTTTGATTCTCCCATAAATGGAACCAGTTCAATGCTCTATCCTCCATTGCAACCATGGATGCTTCCACTTTTTCTTCCTCTTCAATATGATTCAAGCGAAAATACCTCTCCATGCGTACAATCCAATTGTAGGCTCCCTCACCATTGAATAAAGGTAAATCTACCTTTCTACCAGGTAATCTAATGTTTTCATCACTTCGTCGAGCAATATGAACATGTGAATGAACAGAGTTACCTCTGGAGGCTATCGGACTGCGCGAAATTCTCGTATGAAGTTGTTGAGGTGTTCGTGATCTCCCTCGGTTCTGAAAGTGTTCCGCCATGGCATCCATTTTTGCTGTGAGAGCATCCAACGCGGAATGCATCTCCTGCTGATTGCGCTCCAACGATTCCAGTCGATGATCCATTTTGCCTCTCATTCGAACCATCCACCTTCGAACGAAAAAATTTCTGGATTTCTGTACTTCTCCGATCAATTCTGTAACCACCAGGAGCGTAATGCTCTGATACCAATGATAGATCACTGATATTACTGATTCAGAATTCACACAAACAATCGAAGAACACACAGCACAATCTTTATTCAACAAACGAGATGTACACAAGCTTTAGACAATTCGAGATGCCCAATCTCCAAGCCCAGTTCTAGCCAAAATAACAGACTGCTCTAGCTAGCTTATTCAACTTCTATTTATAGTAACAGTCCACGCAGGGACCTCACTAACTAACTAACAGACTAGTTAGTTAATCGTTATTATTAACTGCCCTATTCTTCCTCCTTTTATAGACTTTATTGTAAAACTGAACCGCTTGCTTTACTCCTTGTCTATCAGAGAACTTTTTCATGACAGTAAGATGCCTAGCTAACTTCCTCTATGGTTCAACAAGAACACCGTGGGCCGTCCAGAGATCCTCGCTATTTTCTGCTGATGAAGAGGAGCAATCATTTAGGTCCTGAACAGAGTTTTTCGTGTCACCCGTCTGTTTGGCACCCTCTGACGACCGTTTGTCGGTCGGATCATCATCTGCACCTCCTTGACTGATATTCTCAGTATTGAACTTATCTACGTTTTCTCCAGTTTCGCTAAGTCCACCGGAATCACCAGCCACAGAGGGTTTGGCTCCAAAGAAGAATTATCCGCTTCTCTAGCAAAAATTTTCCCTAGATTGGCGGCCCTTGGAGCATCATCAATTCATCAGCAAATTGTACGCTCTCTTCTTCTTCAATTTCTCTGGGTTTCGAAGAACATCTACCTTCAAAGGGCGGTTGCCGCCGACTAACATAGTCCTGACGAATTGATGACACCTGCGAACTGGTAGAAGCCGCTTGCGGCAAAACCTGCGAATTGGGAGGATTGGCTAGCGCCTAGTGGTGAAGTCTGCAAACGGGGATATTCTGCTTGCGACGAAGCTTGTGTACTGGGAAAAGCGTCTGGCGACTGCGGACTGGGAGAATCTGCATGCGATTGCGACGAGCCTTGGTCACATAGTGCCGGGGACGTCTAGTCCTGGTTTTTAGAGTGCCGGTGATGTCTAGCGGTCCTCGATCATCATCTAGGTCGTCGGCAACATTGATGAAGCAAATGGTTTCACATCTCTTCCAGCATAGATCTTATTTCTGCAAAATCGCATTCGACACTTCCAATGCTATTCTCCATCTGTGAATGCGTAAAACTCATTCTCCACTTCAGCGATCGTTGATACTCTGATACCAGGGATAGAGAACGTTCCAATTTACAGAGTTTTGAGAGCTAGAGATGGAGGAAACATATCTATGTAGCAATGGAAAACTTCGTATAACAGAATAGAAAGAGAAAATACAAAGGCAGTTAAAGAGTGCTAACTCTCCAAGTCTCAAGCCAATAGGATAATCCCAGCCTACATTTATTCTTCACTCCTTCCCCCTTTTATAATATTCCAATCTTTAAGAGTCGGCCCAAGCTAATGAATTACTTGGCCCGAAACCCTCACTTGTACACTATCACAATATTTAATACTATCCTCCGTTCCATAAAAGTTGCAACAGTTTGACTTTCACGTTTGCCAACACGCAACTTTGACTGTAATTATATTTATTTATGTATTAGTAAACATTATAAAAAGTTAATATATTGGAAATTTACATTAATACAAATTTATTAATATTTTATACATAATATTTTTATTATATATATTATTAGAAAATCGTAGTCAAAATGAGGTGTGTGAATAGTACAGAAATTCCAATGTTGCAACTTTTATGGAACGGAGGAAGTATTATTCTATTATTAGTCTTTATTGTACGGGTCTCCATCAAGTGCTCTTCAAATGCATGGCAGATTTATATTTTGAAAAACTAATAATAAACGAAAATAACTTGATGATGCTGTTTAATTATACACACATTTCTGTTTTGTATGTTGCATAATACGTAGTAATTTTTTTAATGGCACAGTTGACTGACAGCTGCCCTTATACTTAGGGGGCTAGGTTGCTTGAAAGTAATTTTATCAACAACACTTCTATGGTGTTTGGACAGTGTTTGCGGGTAAGAATCCAAGTTTTTTTACATGGTTTGGATTTTTATGTAGTTTCCCCATCTTCCTTTAGCACCCTTAAATTCTAATATTTTGCTTTTCATCACTTTATTTCTATAAAAACACGCCAACATATATCCATATGCTTTTATTCCATCATTGCTTAATCTACCCATTGCAGTCTTTGCTGGAACATCAAAAGAACCCCAAAAAGCCACTGCAGAAACATTTCCAAAATTCTATGGTAACATTTCTTTAGCTGAATTATTTTATGTTTGCACAATCCGACCACTAGTTGCAACTTATATTTTTCCTTTTCCTTATATTTTTTTTCTCTATATCATATACACACTCTCCCAAGTACTTTTTATCTGCCGAAGAAAATTTGTTGATTCCACTCGGCTTTGTTTTGAATGTGCGACAAGTTTTTCTGTCTTGTTCTCTTTGATTAGTTGACAAGATACTTGCGAGATTATTTGGAGGGAAAGAAGCGGATGGCATTGGTGCGTTCTTCGCACTTTTTTAATAATAACTACAAATTATTAGTATTGATCTTTATAAAATGCTACCCATAGTTATATCCGTCGATTTTCTTTTAAATCTTGACATGTGTTTAGTTGTACTATTTCTTTTTCAGCTATTAACTGCTAGAGCCGAGCGAGAAGATTATATTGACACTTCTTTTCTTCTAAGGCAGGCTTCACCATATACAAAGATAAAGTATGACGGCTTTGTATAATATTTTTTTTTTAACTTTTTAACCCAGTTGGCATACCACCAAAATCAGTGGGGTAAATGCCCGAGAACATTTACCGGTTATTAATAAAATCCCGAATCAAGAAGGGGGACATAAAACCCCTACCCCTTACCCTTAGTAGCAAAGCACATTCGGAAAACCTTTAGAATCAAGTATAAGAGCCCAGCGAATACGAGGGTGCAACTCTAATATGTAAATATATAGATAAATATATAGATATATTAATTCATCCATTCTGGGATTTAGTAAATATCCATGCTAAATATTTGTGCGGTATATAGGTTTGACTGCATTGAAGAACCAGTAAATTTAAATTGCAATAAAAGGGCTCGTCAGACAGTCCCCATGTCAGACCAAATCAAAAGAATGAAGATGGGTGACATTGAAGCTCTCAAGGTAACACACACACATGCATAGCTTGTGTCTATGTGCATTCTTTATCATTAATAGCTCTTCAACTGTAATTACTTATTTGCAGCCAGGCCGAGTAAAGATGGGACAAGATTCCTCTCTTATAAAAGAAGGTTATTACAAAATTCTTTCTATTCTGTAGACTTCTTATCCTGACTGTCCGTTGCTCTAAAACATTGGTCCATGGATTGCATGTCTAGAGCACATTGCTAGAGGGGTTGATGATAAAAAGTTGATAGAAGCTTCAATACATTCAGAAGAAGATTTAGATGGTGCAAATGTCAATGACATATTCTCTCCTATAGCTGTTCAAACTAACATTGAAGGGAAAGATAGACAGTATCAGGTCTTACTGGGGTTTTCGAAGGCACTATGGAAACTCTTAAAGGACTACAAGAAAAAACTTGAGGTCCTGCCTTCACTAATTCATTGTATGTTGGGGTTTCTACAGTAGACGAACATATATTAATAATTTCATATTAATCAGGTTGCTGAGAATGAGACTTACTGCCTTAGGGAGGAACTGAAGGACTTAAAAATCCAGCATTCTTCTAAAACTGAAGATTGCCAACCAACTGCAGCATGTAAGGTACTAAAAGTTACAAGAGCAAGGAGTAGTGTTTATGGTATTACTCTGATACCACCCCAAAATCTTTTGGGACTAACGCTTGGATGTTTTTGTTGTTGTTGTTAGTAATTCCAGATTCCATTCTACAATATCCAATATAAAACATATCATGGCATTGCATATTAACAATGGTTGCATTCTTCTCTACAAAAAAGAAAGAAATGTCACACACTCACACTGAAGTCCATATCTAGCACTTTCTGATGGTATTTGTTAAGATGCAAGCTTCATTCACAGAGCTACATAACTCTGTGCTAGACTGATAGTTTCGGTTTCCTTTGCATTTATCAAAACATACATCAATCATTTTTCAGTTTCCTTTGCATTTTCTGTGGTAAAACCAAATACAAGAAAATAGCTTTCCTTATCAATTACTACCTCCGTCCTCCTAATATTGGGACATAAGAGAGTGGTGTGGTTTTTAAGAAAAGTAGAATTATGTGGTTGATAATGAGTTGATAACGTGAGAATAAAGTAAGAATGAATTAGAGCCACACAAATGTTACCAAATATGGTATGGGATAATAATAGTGGGACACCCAAAAATGAAAAAATGGGACAATTATAGGGGACGGAGGGAGTAACAATCTTTTCCTTTTCTAAAAAAAGATTTCATGATCCCAAAATACCCTTCAGCGTTTAGCGGAGATGGAAAATTATTTCAGCAAACCTAACAAGCTATTGCTATTTTTGGAACAGTTGGGAAAATCTCTTCAAGACTCAAAGTTAGAAGATGTCAAAATGGAAAGCACTTCTTTGGAATGTGGATCAACCAATGTCAAGGTAACTTTATGTCAGTCCAATGATCAGGAAGGCGAAAACCCCATAGAGAGAACAGGTGGTAATAAAGAAACTGAGGCAACCTTTTTTCTTCTGTGACTGCATCTTTTTCACCTAGTTCTTTAATATACTAATGTTTGATCTATATTTGCTCTCCATAGATACTATACTTGCAGAGCGCACTGCCAACTCTTCCCTGCATGATGAGGGAAAGGTAATTTCACATCACGTGGCTTTTAAGTTATTTATGAAAGATTTAAAAGAATTTTATGTAAAGAAATATTTGGTATTGAATCATGACTTATAAAAAATATAAACAAGTCATGTTGTTATTAGTCAAAACTTTAAGGGTTTCTTCACAAAAGGCATAAACTATTTTGATTTACAGTTAAAATTATATAGAACACAAAAAGAGTATTTAGAGGATACAAAAGTTTAAAATTTTCAAGTGACTCTTCTTATCATAATATTCCAATGATCATTATGTTATACACTGTGTTCTTTACGTGTCTATGTGTTCATTTTCTTTCCATTTGTTGAATCATGCCATGTTAGGAGTATTTTTTGAAGTATATTTTTTCGTGAAAATCATTTTTGTATCTTGTTGCTTCGCAGGTTTTGTTTCTTTACATTATTCTACTGTTAACTTTTTATTGTGAATTTTTTTTTCTTAAAAATCTATTTGAGATTTAGAAAAAAACTAACTAGTGAAAGCCAAAGTGATGCCTTATGTAAAGGACTGGAGAGAGTAATTTTTTTCTAATCTTACAAATCCACAAATTCTTTAAATCTCATAAGAAAGCCTTCACTATAAATTTATTAAAATCCACCAGATTATTTCTATAAAATCATTTAAAATCCATCATTTTTAATCCTAAAAAGCTTCTTTTAAGATCCCAGTTCAGGACACCCCCCTAAGAAATTGAGACATACATTAATTAATCACTTAATCATGTTTCATTTTCCTTTACATTTTCTGTGGTAAAACACTAAAACCTAATATTAAAAAAACATTCTTTAGCAATAATTTTCTTTTACCTAGAAATTGATGTGATCCAATCATGCCCTTAAGCTTATAGATAATGTGAATTCTTTGGAGTGGAAGATAATATACTATCACTATTTGAGGAACAGTTTGTGGAATCTGCTGAAGACCCAAAGTTAGAACATGTAAAAGTGGAAGATACTTCTTTGGAGTTTGTACTCGAGAAAATTATAACATCATGCCAGTCCAGTGTTCAAGAAGATGAAAACTCTAAAGGAAGGACAGGTGGTTTGGTAGTAAAAAATTGAGGCAACCATTTTCTTCTTTAACTGCTTTTTCGTTCACCTAATTTGTTGATATACTAATTTATGATTTTTACATGAATTCTTTAGATTCAGAACTTGTGGGGCCCACTGCTAACTCTCCCATGCACGATGAGGGAAAGGTAGTTATAGATAATGTGAATTCTTAAGATTTTTTTTGTTTTCCAAAGCTTATTTTTAGGTCTAAAAACTGTTTTATCCAATCAAGACTTTTACAGAATGTAAATAAGTCATGTAGTCGTTCTATTCAATCAAAACATTTAGGTTTTTCATGAATTCCATAAATTTTGTGGTAATCAATTGAGATTTGTTAGAACTCAAAAAAGAAGTGTTAAGGTATTTGTTGAGGTTTATTCCTTCAACCCGTAGGCCCAACACGTAACCTAGGGGTCTCAAGTGGAGGAGTAAATAGATGAAGAAACAAACAAGAAGAGGCCCAATAAGAAGTCTTAATACATTAATTTCGGTACAACGGCCTGAGGCCGTTCGTCCCAGCCTATGCTACGAGTTGTTACAATGCTATACTATTAGAGTGCGTGCTTAGTTGCCAACCCTTTACAATGAAATAAATGCTTCTATTTATACTGCCAATGGGTAGTTGGATGTGTTGACGTGGCGGGCTGTGAATGGCTTGATCCCAACCACCAAATCTTCTGCATTGAATGTGCTTCCCGCCAGGATCTTTCGCATTCCGCTAGGATTCTTGGCTTCCCGCCAAGGGGTTGGGACGTTCGTCCCCTGGAGCCTGCTGCCTTGCTTCCTCGTGGGTCCGGAGTCCTTTAAGACAAGCGTCAGGCGATGCCTCTACTAGGATCTTGACTTCCCGCTAAGGGGTTGGGACGTTCGTCACTAGAGCCTGCTGCCCTGCTTCCTCGTGGGTCCGAAGTCCTGTAAGACGAGCGTCCGATGATGCCTCTGCCAGGATCTTGGCTTCCTGCCACGGGGTTGGGACGTTCGTCCCCTGGAGCCTTGGTTTTAAAAGGCACGAGGCGCCTTGAGGCGATTTTTTTGATTTACCCGAGGCGCGAGGCGCTAGGCGGTGATGCGCGCGCATCACGGATCTCAGCCACATTTCCCTCGTTAAATATATTTTTAGTACTTCTACATGAAGCACTCTTCTCAAAAATACTTCAAACTATTAAACAATCTTAATAAACATCATAAGAGAAACAAAATATTAATTAAAGAGAATAAGACAGAAGCAAGAAATATATGTTTAAAGGCATAATTGCCACAAGTCAAGTCACAAAACTCAATCTTAAAGCTTCAAAACATAATTAAACTTGCAAGCAATATTGTCAACAATATTCATCACTGTCATCATCCTCATTATCGAGAGTAGCAAGCTCAACATCGTCATTTCCTTCATCATCAGTTACTCCTAAGTCTACCTCCCAAGTTTCTTCAACAATCCTCTTGCCTTTGTCATTGTTTGATGTGCTAGCTCCATCATTCCTAGCTGCTGATCTAGTGACGTAACTAGGCTCATATGCTCCAGCAGCTCTAGCAACTGCCCCCCATGTCAAAGTATCATCTTCAAACACAAAATCATCATCTTCGTCATCATTCTCCATTCTTCCGAGCAACCACTCATTACTTTCATCAATCTCTTCTAACAGAATGGGATCGGTGGTGTCTTTCCTCTCATACCGTCTTTTCAAAGCACGGTTATATTTTACAAAAACTAAGTCATTCAAACGACTTTGCGCCAATCGATTTCTCTTCTTAGTATGAAGCTGTCAAAATGAAATTATGTAAATATTTGAAATTTAAAATCTATGAAAATTAACACGTTTAATGTGCGGATTAGAGCTTACATGCTGAAAAACACCCCAATTTCTTTCACAACCAGTGGCACTACAAGTGAGGCTAAGGACTCGAATAGCGAACTTCTTCAAATTAGGAACAGATGATCCAAAGGAATTCCACCAATCCGCTGGTGTTTGAGTTTCGAGAGTTTAAAAAATAGTTAATTGAAAATCATTTGAATTTATAAACATAAATTCTAATTTGTTATAGAAAGAATTATAAGTTATAAAAGTACCAGGAGATTTTATTTTTCTCTGCCTTATGGCTGCCGGGATGCCGAATAAGCCTTGTGCACTCGAATATGCATCCAACTCCTTGATGACTTTATCTTGGTCTTCAACATCAACAACCAATCTAGCAATACAAGCATACAAGCCATTCATCACCTCTTCATCATTCGTTATGCGTTCTGAATCATCATAGAAGAGTTCCGGGTTCAAGTAATGCCCCGCAGCATGTAACGGCCGATGCAACTGACATTGCCACCTCTCATCGATTATTTCAAATGTTTTCTTATAAAATTCTTCTTTTTCTCCGAAAGATTTTGCAATGGTCTCCTTAGCCCTATCCATGGCTTCATATATGTATCCCATGGCCGGCTTTCTTTCTCCATCAACGATCCTCAACACTTTCACAAGCGGCCCCACCAATTTCAAAGCATAAAGAACACTCTTCCAGAAACTCTCTTGCAATAAATACGACACAACTTTCTTTCCAGCTGCTTCTTTTGACCATTTGCTTGATCTCCAATCTTCCGAAGTCACCAACTTCCTCAAATTATTCTTCTGCTTGTGATATTGAGAGAGAGTGATAAAAGATGTAGCAAATCTCGTGATGCCAGGCCTATGCAAATTCCTTTGGCCTGTGAATCTCCTCATCATATTCACAAGACCAACATAGGAATAGATAAAACCGTTCATAAAAACTGCCTTCTTCAAAGCATTGTGAACTTTGGGAATCTTCCCAATGTCCTCTAACATAAGATCAATGCAATGTGCAGCGCAAGGAGTCCAATAAAGGTGTGGGCGTTTTGCTTCTAGTAATTTTCCTACGAAAGTTTTAAATCACAGTTAACATTTTAGCTTTTTGTTAAAAAGAATGAAAAAACATTTGTAAAAAAGTAAAATTGATATAATCATATAACTTACCCGCTTTCACATAAGCGGATGCATTGTCAGTTACAACTTGCACTACATTCTGCTCACCAATTTCTTCAATCATTTCGTCAAGAATATTAAACATAAGATTTGCATCTTTTGAGACTTCTGAAACATCCATGGACTTAATGAACACTGAACCCTTAGGAGAATTAATTAAAAAATTAATGATCTCCTTTTGGGCAACAGTATCACGCCACCCATCAGATAACAACGAGCAACCTTTTAATGCCCATTCTTTCTTGTACTCATCCAGCATTGTTTGGGTATCCTCCACTTCCTTTCGAAGTAATGGAACTCTTAACTCGTACATGCTAGGTGGTTTCAGTCCAGGACCAAATTGCCCAATCGATTCAATCATAATTTTAAAACTATCATAATTGGCAGCATGAAATGGAAGAGCTGCATCAATAAACCACCTAGCTATGTCTCCACATACTTTAGCCCTTAATTCCTTTTTACAAACTTCATTGATGGTTTGTTGCTTCCCGCTTTTTTTTTCCTTTAAGGACATCTTCGGGGTTAGGTCTAAAATAAACATCAATTGGACCCTTTTGTCTTGGTCTTTTGGCCGATGGCAATTTATTTGTGAGATCCACACAATCTTCTTCCTCATCACCATCATACTCATAAAGTTGGGCCATTTTTGGGAGCAACTCGTTTTCTTCTTTGGAAGCTTGTTTTTTCAACATAAATGACTTAATTTCTTCCCGAACATGTTCAGGACATTTAGGACATTTGGTAACATTCCTAAACCCTCCCACAAGATGTTGTTTTAAACGAAAACCCCCTCCCTTAGTTACTTTCAAACAGAAATTGCAAGTGAAATTGTTCCTATTGGTAGGATCCGGTATCGCATATTTTCTAGCAAGGTCCCTAGCTTCGGAACAACCCGCGGAAGAAGTTGAATTTGAGTCCATTGAATCCCTAACAAATATATGGTATTGAAAGAAATAATCACAATATAAACTGTGATAAATATATTTTAATTTAAAATTTAAATAATTAATGTAATAAACTGTGATAAATTAATAGTCATTTTGTGATAAATTAAATAATTAAGTTGTATAAAAACTGTTAATAGTAATTTAAATAATTAATGTAATAAACTGTGATAAATCAGTAATCATTTTGTGATAAATTAAATAATTAAGTTATATAAAAACTGTTAATACTTAATAGTAATTTAAATAATTATTGTAATAAGCTATTATATAAAAATTTGTTAAAAAATGTTAATAATAAAAAACTGTCATTTTTTGCAATACATTGTTAATAAATCAGTGTTCTAACACTAAAATATATATTATATAGTATTATGATATTATCATTGTTATGCAATTGTAATATACTATAAAATAATACATATTTAATTAATAAACTATCACTCAAATACAATTCTGTAAAATTAATTACACACAGATGTATGGTCAGAATCTGACTTTTTATTCAAATAATTTAGTGTTAGAAGATAAAAACTTAAAATATATTTTTATTCATAGTTAATAATCTGACTGACGTTTATATACAATTCTGTAAAATTAATAACTACGTACGGTCAGTTATCTAACTTTTTATTCAAATAATTTTAATATTTTTATAAATAGAACAACTTAAAATAAAAGAGAATAAATAAAAGAAGATAAAAAAATAAGCAGACTTACCTCTGCAGCTCTGCAAGATCGGAAGCAGACTTACGCGTGATAGAAGGCAGAAGCGCAAGATCGGAAAGGTCAGAACCTACGCGTGATAGACTTACGCAAGATCGGAAAGGTCGGAAAGGGCAGAAGCGCAAGATCGGAAGCAGACTTACGCGTGATAGACTTACGCAGATGAGACGGTAAATTTATCTGTCTTTCTCTTTAAGCAGAGAAAGTCTCTTTACGCAGATGAGGAGCTTAGAAGGCAGAACCTACGTTGTCAATTTATAATACCACTGCAGAATTTTCTGGAACCAGAATTTTGAAACGCCAAGGAATGGGAATCGCCAAGGAAGGGTAATCGCCAGAATCCATGAGGCGGCTAAGGCGCTCACCTCTCAGAAGCGAGAAAGGCGCAAATAAGCGGGAGAAGCGCACGCCTCGTAAACCCTAAGCCGCCTGGCTATGTAAAAGGCGATGACTTCTTCACCTTTATGCACCTCGCGCCTTTGTGCGCCTCAGGCGCGCTTTTTAAAACTAAGCCTGGAGCCTGCTGCCCTGTTTCCTACTGGGTCCAGAGTCGTGTAAGATGAGCCTCTGATGACGTCCCTGTTCCAAGGCACTCGCTTAAACTACACTACGTACGTCCCCTGGGCCAAGGTACCCGCTGACTATTGTACATAAGCCCCTTGATCTTGATGAAGAGTAGGTACGTTGTCTAGGATCCTCTGTGCTTTGCTCGACCATCTTCTCACTGGTCCTCCTTGCGGCCCTTGGGTCTTATGCTACGTGAGGCCGGTGATCTTGATGAATAACACGTACATCGCCTAGGATCATTTGTTCTTTGCTCAACCATCTTCTCACCGGTCCTCTGTGCGGCCCTTGGGTCTTATGCTACGCGAGGCCGGTGATCTTGACGAAGAGCACGTAGGTCACCTAGGATCCTTTGTTCTTTGCTCAACCATCTTCTCACCGGTCCTTCGGGCGGCCCTTGGGTCTTATGCTACGTGAGGCCGGTGATCTTGATGAAGAGCACATATATCACCTTGGATCTGCTGTGTTTTGCTCGACCATCCTCTCACCAGTCCTTCGTGCGGCCCTTGGGTCTTATGCGACGCGAGGTCGGTGATCTTGACGAAGAGCACGTACGTCGCCTAGGATCGTCGCCTAAGATCCTTTGTTCGTTGCTCAACCATCTTTTCACCGGTCCTCCGTGCGGCCTTTGGGTCTTATGCTACGCGAGGCCGGTGATCTTGATGAAGAGCACGTATATCACCTTGGATCTGCTGCGTTTTGCTCGACCATCCTCTCATCGGTCCTCCGTGCGGCCCTTGAGTCTTATGCGACGCGAGGCCGATGATCTTGATGAAGAGCAGGTACGTTGCCTAGGATCCTCTGTGCTCTGCTCAACCATCTTCTCACCGGTCCTCCGTGCGGCCCTTGGGTCTTATGCTACGCGACGCCGGTGATCTTGATGAAGAGCACGTACGTCGCCTAGGATCCTTTGTTCTTCGCTCAACCATGTTCTCACCGGTCCTCCGTGCGGCCCTTGGGTCTTATGTTACGCGAGACCGATGATCTTGACGAAGAGCACGTACCTCGCCTAGGATCCTTTGTTCTTTGCTCAACCATCTGCTCACCAGTCCTCCGTGCGGCCCTTGGGTCTTATGTTACGCGAGGCCGGTGATCTTGATGAAGAGCACGTATATCACCTTGGATCTGCTGCGTTTTGCTCGACCATCCTGTCACCGGTCCTCCGTGCGGCCCTTGGGTCTTATGCGACGCGAGGCCGGTGATCTTGACGAAGAGCACGTACGTCGCCTAGGATCCTTTATTCTTTGCTCAACCATCTTTTCATCGGTCCTCCGTGCGGCCCTTGGGTCTTATGCTACGCGAGACCGGTGATCTTGATGAAGAGCACGTATATCACCTTGGATCTGCTGCGTTTTGCTCAACCATCCTCTCATCGGTCCTCCGTGCGGCCCTTGGGTCTTATGCGACGCGAGGCCGATGATCTTGATGAAGAGCAGGTACGTTGCCTAGGATCCTCTGTGCTCTGCTCAATCATCTTCTCACCGGTCCTCCGTGCGGCCCTTGGGTCTTATGCTACGCGACGCTGGTGATCTTGATGAAGAGCACGTACGTCGCCTAGGATCTTTTGAATGCGCTTCCCGACAGGATCTTTGGCTTCCCGCCAGGATTTTTGGCTTCCCGCCAAGGGTTTGGGACGTTCGTCCCCCTGGAGCCTGCTGCCCTGCTTCCTCGTGGGTCCGGAGTCCTGTAAGACGAGCGTCCGGCAATGCCTCCGCCAGGATCTTGGCTTCCCGCTAAGGGGTTGGGATGCTCGTCCCCTGGAACATGCTGCCCTGCTTCCTCGTGGGTCCGAAGTCCTGTAAGACGAGCTTTCGGCGTTGCCTCTGCCAGGATCTTGGCTTCCCGCCAAGGGGTTGGGACGTTCGTCCCCTGGAGCCTGCTGCCCTGCTTCCTCGTGGGTCCGGAGTCCTGTAAGGCGAGCGTCCGGTGATGCCTCTAGCAGGATCTTGGCTTCCCGCCAAGGAGGTTGGACGTTCGTCCCTTGGAGCCTGCTACCCTGCTTCCTGCTGGTTCCAGAGTCCTGTAAGATGAGCCTCCGGTGACGTCCTTGTTCCTAGGCACTCGCTTAAACTACGCCACGTACGTCCCCTGGGCCAAGGTACCCGCCGACTATTGTACGTACGTCCCCCGACCTTACGCTTACGCCTAGCCTTATTGGGGGGACGAGCCTCTCCCAATCAACGGAAGGGTACTTCGTTGTCTTGGGCCTTCCCGGGACGTTCGTAGGATGCGCCTAAGGGTATATGGGCCATCCCCGTTGGGCCATTAACCCAACAGTATTCAAAAGTTTGAAGAATTTGAGGCTTTTCTTTCTCTTGCCCAAAACTCTTCCTGCCGGCCAAGATATGTTCTTTCTGCTTTCTTTTCAACCTTCTTCTCATTAATATATTTATTTATGTACCAAATGTCCAAATTTTAATCCATCCATATGTTTTTATACATGTCCTCATCCTCCCTCCTCCCCCTCCTCTCTTTTTCTTCTGTTATCATTATGCCAATTATTGGGTCATTCGGAAACAGTCTCTTTGTGCGTTAGTATAGGGGTAAGATTGCGTATATCCGATCCCCCCTTACCCCACCGTAGGTGGGAGCCTTTGCGGCACTGGGGTAATGATTATAAATGAATGATGGATCATTATGCCAATTATTATGGGGTGTTTGGATCTACTTCTTGAAATTGGAGAATTCGGCTGAAAGTGTATAAGTACTTTTGAGTGTTCCAAATTGCTTTTCAAACATTGTTTTAGAAGTTGAGTGAGACTAGCTTTTGAAAAACTAATTTTTTTTCTACTTTTCAAAAAGAAGCAGAAGCAGAATCAATTCCAAACACCCCCTATGTAATACAATATGTGTTTACTTCTCTAATGCATTAGTTTTCTTTCCCCCTTTTTTGTATGATGACATTTTAGGAGAAAATTGTCCCCAGTATATTCATGTGTACTGTCATGTTCGTACTTCGTAGCATGCTCTTTTGCAAGTTTTTATATACTGTATATTTTTCCATCTGATATCATGAATAGACTCATGGAAGGCAGAGGAGTAATGCCAAGAATTTGACCCCGAGTCTGATCATATTCGGGATTTAAACCAGACAAGAAGCAATATAGACGTTGCTGATTTATATAGTTCTTGTGAAGAGCTGCATCTGCAGCATTCGACCACTTCATCGTTTGATACTGGTCAAGTTCAGACCATCGTCGTTGGAGGTCAGTTGCATAATCTGTGACAGATTGTGAATCTTGCTTAAGATTCGTTGTTTTGAGCCATAAGTCATAGACAAAAGCGTCATCTTTAGCAACAGAGTAGGACTGCTGTATGAAATCTCAGATTTCTTTAGCCGAGTCCATGTATAAACATGTACTGCTAATGTTGGGATCCATAGAGTCCCATAACCAGACTCGTATGTTGGCATTAGTTTTCTCCCAAATAGCAGCATCAATCTCTCCTTCTTCTAGGGTAGAGACAGTGAGACAGTCTTCAAGATCTTTGCCACGTAGGAGAGTGTAAACCAGCTTTGACCACCCAAGATAGTTCCTGCCATTGAGACGGTAAGATGGCGGGATAGAAAGGAGATCAAATTTCTGGTTTCGAAGAGCAAACGCGGCTGCAGTAGCAGCTGAAACAATGGTTGAGTGATCAAGGTTACTTGATTCAGTTTCCTTAGACATGATAAAACCGTTGGTGAAGAGATGGGCACCACACGATTAAACAGAGAGGCGGGGAGAGACACCCTAATAGACTGTTCGAAAGATGATTAACAGTGAAGTGGCTGATACGAGATCAAGCTCTGATACCATGAAGTTTTCTGAATATTATTTCCATGAATTCATTTACAAGAAGTACATAAGCTATTTATACATATAGGAATCCTGAGAGAGTCTATTCAGTACCCTAGGTGACTGTCTAAATACTAAACATAAATGATTGAGAACTGAAAAGACAGCAGCTATTAAATACAACCTGAAGCACTAAAGAGACATAATTACAGTAATAATAAGGAAAATAAATCCTAGATTAATGATGTCTCTTCGTTTTATCAACAACAACCACCTTGTCCTCAAGGTGGGTGGTAGGAAACCGCCCTGGCCAACAGCTTCATCCTTACTTCATCTTTGCGCCTCTTCCTTCCCAGTATCTCACTACTTGCTGAACCAGGAGCTTCAGTACTTGATTCTTCACAATCACAGATGCATCTGCCGCAGAAGATAGGTCTAATGAAGTTTCATCCGTTGCAGTAGCCTTCAAGCACTCAATAGCGACAAGTGTTTCCTTGTTTTCATGAGGCTCCTCATAGTTTGTTAACTCTGCACCCTTCTTGATGTCCCTTACTGCAAAGTGCAAACAACCTCATGCAAACTGCTTCCTTTATTGCATATTCCTTTTGTGGTGCCTCATAGGCATGCATATTGTGAAAGATATAGAATATACTTTAGAATATTAGAATATACTTCAGAATATTCTAGGAATATATTATTATATTCTATTTCTTTCACACATATCAAGCCCTTCTCCAACGTATCCAATGGTAATGCACCCTTTAGATATATCTTCCAGACTTTGCAGCCCATGCCCCTTGTTGCCACAATTATACCACTCCAAGTTCGCATCCTTCCGTCTCTGAAACTGTTTATTCGAACCTTGCTCGCCATAGTTCTCTTGTGTATATAACTTGCTAGTCAAATCAACTGCTGGGCTCTTCTCAACCCTTGAATCCACAAACCACTTTGGTAGTTTGAATGCTTCACCTTTAAGTGCCTCCCCTTCTGCTAGAGCATGTATGAAACCGATTCTAGCACTCTCTTGCCCATTCATCGTGCTTATTGCAAGAGACAGAAATAGATGGAAAATAGCATTGATGATCAATTGAAATATAGACTGGATATTAAGGAGAAAAAAGTGCATCTTCAACCTTGGGGTAAAAATATCTTGAAATTCAGTAAAAGAGTGCATCCCAGAAGTTCGTTGTTGATTGTGCAGTGTGCACTGTTGTTTCAGCCTCTTCATAATCTGAGGCTTGAGCACTGTTAAGGCTCGCGGTATTGGTAACATGTGATGTTGCTCAGTCCTCATATTGTTGATTTTTTGAAGGAAATGTAGTGCCCACTTCAGAGCTGTTCACATCTCCTTCACCATCAGAACAACGTTTAACCGCTCCTATTTAAGCATCCAGTAGCTGCACCTCAGGAAGTTTTCATTCTTTTCACCATGAGCATCAATGCATCATAGCAATGGCATCAATGCGTTCTGTTTTCATAGTTTTTGGGTTCCATAGGGTGAAATCCAAATGCGCTTCTAACACATAAATCCCCACGACTGACATCATTCCAACAATTCACTTGCCTAGGCTCCCCTGGACCCTTGAGCTGACAAGGAAGTTGATAATCATAAAAGACTGCAGCGCCTATAGTTTCAAGTGTTGAATAAGGTCATTGACAATCATCCGATACATGGCAACGTCCACTTTAGTATCATATCCAAAATATTCATTATAATTCCCAATAAATCGTACTCCCAACCCATTTTGAATACACCTCATAGAAGTAACACCATCAAATTTGAAACCCTCCAACTTATTCAGCCCTTCCAAATTTCCCCTTGATGAATGACTGTGCACAATATCCATTAGGACACCATCTCCAGTTCATGAACTCCCCCAATCACAGATTTAAAATATTCTGTGTTTCGGTATAGTGCACCACTGCACTAGCATACTTCCGAGTATCATAGGTAACGATGTGTGTGAAACCGGCCCTCTTTATCCTCTCCTATGTCATTGTCGGTCAGTTCCGCGCCAGCATCAGCATGCTCTGGGATATTGGTTTCCTGATGGTAAGTAATGTCAACTTCGCAAGGTTCCAAACTGTTAGTCCGCCTGCTTCAACTCAGTATTTATTTCCTGATGCAACTAGGGTTATGGCTCCTGAAACGGATGATTCCTGTAGGCATGTTGCATTTAGCGCACTGGGAGACGCAGCTTGCGATGACATCTGTGAACCCCTGGTAACCGCTCGTGACGGAGCATGTGAACTGGAAGACTCGGTTAGCGACTGCGAACTGAGGTCTTCTGCTTGCTACGACACTGGCTTACTGCGAGAAGAGGTTTGTGACCTCAAAGAAACGTTTCGCGACTGCAAACTGGAAACTGCGTTCTGCGGCTAACAACGAGCCTTGTTTTTCAGATTTCCGATGATGTCTAGGATTCCTGGCTCGGCCTTGCGATCGACAGTCATTCTGCTGGACCATTAAATCGTGCATCTCCGCAATCGTCTTGTTAATGTTTTCGCAGCTCCTCACTGTTGCGTTCCACCTTGTGCTTTATCACTTCCAATCTGCTTTCCATACTGATGCGGTTAACAACAATTCGCAGGTGACAGGAATCGTGCTCTGATACCAAATGATAGGTTTCAGGCCAATTCACTGTAATTTCAGATAATTACGTAACAATGGAGGTAGTTGTATAACAAAAGAGAGAGAGAAATGTTCACCGGAAGTTAAACAGTGCCAACTCTCCAAGTCCCAAGCCCAAGATAATACCAGTCTTCCTGTCATTATTTATACTAACCCTTCTATCATCATCATCGTCTTCGTCATCCTCATCATCATCATTGTTATTAGTCTACCCGGGTCGCTATCAGGTATTCATTAGAAATCCATTAAAATCTTTCACTCTTGAAAGAATAGCCTAAAATACATTGTATTCAAACAAAATCTTTCAGACCCACCAGGCATGTTAAAAAATGCTAAAAGTTTTGTTTGGGGATGGTTGAGAGGAGGGAAGGGAAGCTCCCCCCCCCCCCCCCCCCCCCCCGCAGTTTTTTAGTCACTCCAGTTTGGCTGTTTTGAGGGAGGCCTAATTTTACCATTCCCACCCCTTTCCTCATCCCATCTAAACCTAATAAGGTAACACAAAATACTTCTCTTCCTTCCCTTGCCCCAATCATACCCTAAGTCCCTGTTTGTTTCAAAGGCTCGAACTAAACAGAGCCTAAGAGTCGTGGCATTCCTGCATCATCTTTTAATTTCACCCTGCTTTGTTATCCTAAAGAAGTCTTCTGAAATCCTAGTTCTCCTCCCGTAAGAAATCAGTTACCTTTGCATTTTCTGTAGTAAAACCAAATACAAGAAAACATTAGCAATTTTTTCCTTTCCCTATAAAACTCCGTGATCAGAGCATACGCTTAAGCTTTTAGCTTCAATGAGATATTCATGCAGCAAAGCTAATAAGCTATTGCTATTTGTGGAAAGTTTGTAGAATCCTTTCAAGATCCAAATGTAGAAGATGTTAAAGTGGGAGATAATTTGGAGCGTGGAGCATCCAAGACCATTGTAAATTCATGCCAGTCCGGTGATCAGGAAGAAACCCCTCCCTATAAAAGGACATGTGGTATTAAAAGAAATTGAGGCAACTGTGTTCTTTTTTGTCTGTTTCTTTGTTCACCTAGTAAGGTACTAATATATAATCTTTACTTGATTTATTTAGATTCAATACTTGTGGAACCCACTGACAAATTTCCCTTGCAGTATGATGATGCAAAGGTAATTTCACATTTCAATTGTTTTAGGTATGTTAGAACATATTTTATTGTGTTTAATTTAATTAGGATTTAATCAATGGGTCTTTGTAAAATTAGAGGCCATTTAATTAGATTAATGAGGCCCGTCCTAATGTAACAAGGATGTTCGGCCATACTCCTATAAATATAGGATGAATGGACCGAACATACTTGAGGGTTTCACAATTAGAATAGTCATATCATTCTCGAAGCTCTCATGCTAGAGAGAGGAAGTCTCTACACATTCTGTTTTCACATATTATTTTCGTAGAGCACCTAGACTAGAATAATTCTCTCTCAACATTCATACGTGTATTGTTCTTCACCGAGACATCATTATCAACACACGGTATATGTTGATGTTGAATTTCTCTTCTACTGTATAAATTCTGTCAATTATTCTTAGTATTATTCGACTGTTGAATCTGGGCATATTTCACACAATGTATTTGAAACATGATGTATTTTTTGACGATCATGGTTAAGTGCTTCCACATTCACTCTCTTATGTAGCTTGTAAGTTTTAGGAATAAAACTTCCTTGATTGAATGAGCCATACGGCCAGAGTATAAATACACTTTGTACAGATAACTACTAGCTAGTACAGATCCTAAAAATTAGGATCTCGATAACTATGAGCTTATCTACAACTAACTAAGTCTATCCGACTAAATATGTACATCAATCTAATCAAAAAAAATAATGTAACATTTTTCTAATAATGTAACATTTTTCTACACTTCCCCTCAAGTTGGTGAATATATATCATACATTCCCAACTTGCTTATAAGTAGCTCAAATATAGGTCTAAATAACCCTTTGGTGAAGATATCAGCTGTTTGATCTTTAGTGGATACAAATGGTGTGCAAATGATTCCAGCTTCAATCTTCTCCTTAATGAAATGTCTGTCCACTTCAATATGCTTAGTTCTATCATGTAGCACAAGGTTATGAGCAATGCTTATAGCAACTTTATTATCACAATATAACTTCATAGGCAGCCCAATCTCCATCTTCAGTTCTGTGATTACTCGTTTGATCCAGAGTAACTCTCATGTTCCATTAGCCATAGCTCTGAATTCTGATTCTGCACTACTTCTAGCAACCACATTTTGTTTCTTACTTCTCTAGGTTACTATATTTCTCCATACATAAGTGCAGTATCCAGAAGTAGATCTCCTATCAGATATTGAGCCAGCATAATCTTCATCAGTAAAAGCTTCAACTTAATTGTCTATGTAGATGATATTATCCTCATAGGAAATTATCACACAGAGACTAAAAGGTTGAAAGACAAACTTGCTCATAAAAGTGTCCTATTGTCTCCCTTTTTGAAAAACAATCCCTTCCCTGGACAGCTCTTCAGGTATTTCAGAATCCTGTAAGTAGCATCAAGAAAATTAAGGTTTTCATGAATATGTGGCACTATTGGAACATCTTCACTTAATTTCTCCCCCTGAAGATGAGAATAAAAAAGGTTGTTCTTCCACAAAAAAAGTATCCATAGTAACAACCATTGTTTTGGTTGTAGGATCAAAACATTTATACCCCTTTTTAGTGGCAGAAACACCTAGAAAAACACATTTTTTTCCTCTAGGATCAAACTTACTTGCAGATCTATCTGGATTTTTTATAAACACTGTGCAACCAAAATTTTTTAAAGGAAGAGTGTTTACCAATCTATTTGTAGGAAAGAAGTGTTGTAGTGAACTGATAGGACTTTTAAATCCTAAAGTTTTGGATGACATGCGATTAATTAAATAAGTAGCATGTAACACTACCTCTCCCCACAAATATTTTGGTATGTTTGTTGAAAACATGATTGCACGAGTGACTTCAAGCAAATGTCTATTTTTCTTTTCTGCAATTCCATTTTGAGCTGGTGTATTGACACAAGAGCTTTGATGGATAATGCCTTTTTCAGTAAAAAAGTTGTTTAAAGTTTGAGAAAAATATTCACGGCCATTATCACTTCTTACCATTTTAATTTTGGTATTGAATTGAGTTTGGACCATAGCATAAAATGCCCTAAATATTTTCTCAACTTCAGATTTTTCTTTGATTAAAAATACCCATGTGACACGAGTATGATCATCAATAATAGTTACAAACCATCTCTTTCCCTTTAAAGTTGGTATTCTAGATGGACCCCAAGTGTCACTATGTACCAAGGTAAAAGGACTAGTAGGTTTATAACTGTGGGGTAAATAAGTGTTTCTGTGATGTTTTGCAAGTGCACACATATCACAATTAAACAAAGAAGCATCTTTATTCAGAAATAATTGAGGAAACATCTTTTTTAAATAATAGAAACTAGGGTGTCCTAGTCTATAATGAAGTAAATACAAATCTTTATTATTTGAAAAAGAAACAGTTTGCAAACAAGCATTTCTTGGACCTCTTTTATTTGATTGAGTTTCTCCATCAAAGATATAGAGTCCATCCTCCTCCTTAGCATTGCCAATCATCTTCTCCGATGCCAGGTCCTGAAAAATGCAATAAGAAGGATAAAAAATAACACAACATTGTAGATCTTTAGTTATTTGACTAACTGAAGCAAGATTGCAGGATAGATTAGGGACATGAAGGACTTTGGATAGATTCAGTGATGAGGAAATACTAATATTTCCCATCCCTGCAATGGCTGATAGAGAACCATCTGCAACCTTAACCTTTTTATCCCATGCACTAGGTTTATATGAAGAAAAAAGATTTGAAATAGAGGTCATGTGATCAGTAGCCCCTGAGTCAATAACCCAAGAATTTTTTAGATTTCCCAGAACAAAAAAATGATGAATAGGTACCATTTTGGGCATAAGAATAAGAGGAAGATTCTGGTTTGGATTCTTTCTGGGAATTTTGGGTTTTCTGGGAATTAAGGAAGTTAAGAAGTCGCCCTATCTGTTCCTGAGTGAATGAAAGCTGATTGAACTTTCCACTTGTGGTTCTTGTTGAGTCTCAGTCACAGTTGTTTGTAGGGCCTTCTCAGTTTTTTTCTTTCCTGCTCGTGGTGGTTTGCCATGAATTTTTCAACAAGTCTCCCTAGTGTGCCATAATTTCTTGCAGTGATCACACCAGGGTTTTTTCTTGTCATCATTCCTAGCCACCATTGCTGAAGAGTCCCCAAATTCCTCATTATGTACTGGAATGTTGTACATAACCTTCTCCCTGCTATCCTCCATCCTGATTTCAGAAAATACCTCCCTGATAGAGGGTAGAGGTTTTTTCCAAGTATTCTCCCCTTAACTTCATCTAGATCTCTATTAATTCCTGCTAGGAACATGTAGACCCTATCATTTTCCTCCCTTTTTTGGTGTCTTGCTAGATCCTTGGCACTCTCCCACTTCTCATCATCATGGCACTGATCCAACTCTTGCCATAGGGATACCATCTCATTATAGTAAGAGATGACATCTCTATTTCCTTGTTTGGACTGCCACAACTTGGTTTTTAATTCAAAAATCTGAGAAGAGTTCTCAAGATCTGAGTAAGTTTCCTTAATGGAATTCCATACCTCCTTTGCAGTTTTCATGAACATGTGAGGTTTGGCAATTGATGCATCCATTGAACTTAGAAGCCATGCTGTCACCAAGGAATTTTCTGACCTCCAGACACTGTAGCCATCATCACCAGTTTGTTTCTCCTTTATTTCACCAGTTATGTACCCTAGCTTGCCCCTTCCATCAATGGTCAGCTTGACAGACTGTGACCATTCGAGATAATTTGTGCCATTCAATCTATGACCAGTAATGAGCATAGATGAATGCACTGAGGTCTGGTAGTTTGTCATTGAGCTATTTTGGGAGTTAGGGTTATGGGTTTGTGAGTGGTGAGAAGAGTCAGAGTGCTCGGTTTCCACCATTGTGGTGTTTAAACGGCCTGCTCTGATACCATGTATGTTTTAGGAATAAAACTTCCTTGATTGAATGAGCCATACAGCCAGAGTATAAATACACTTTGTACAGATAACTACTAGCTAGTACAGATCCTAAAAATTAGGATCTAGATAACTGTGAGCTTATCTACAACTAACTAAGTCTATCCGACTAAATATGTACATCAATCTAATCAGAAAAAATAATGTAACATTTTTCTAATAATGTAACATTTTTCTACATAGCTATATGTCTACTTGGTCTTGTCACTGAAATATTATCACCTCCGTTCAAGAACTTTCTGCTTCTTTAACCTTATAGAAATTGAGTGTAGATCATTCATTGAAGTTTTTCTAGATTCACACTATTTTGTTTTCAGATGATTTCTTTTCTCTTTTTTCAGACGAAATTTATTAATTTAGAAGAGAGTAGTTGTACATTTTCACATTATTCCAAAATTCATATATAATTACTTTTCTAATTTAGACAACCAACATTTTTTTACACTCTTATGTCTTTTTGCTTGATACAGGAACACTTGCATCCCCGGGTGCCAAATCCTAAAAGTAATGCATTAGAAGTTGTACCGAAACAAACATCTTTTGGCTGTCCAAAAAATGTAGAAAAACCTAAAAGGTTTGACTGAAGCAGATACCAAATGCCATCATTTCATTTTGAAAATATCCCACTTTGGGTCGATGAGTATTAGATCATTCTCACTTTTCGTTCCCAATTTTCATTTTTCCTATTTTGGTGCACGGCTATGAGCTTCTTTCCATTTTCTGCCACATACCCGGCAATTTCCGACAATAAGATGGAAAGGACCAAAGTTGACAAGAAATCCATAGTCTTCCACCAGGAGTGAAAAAATGACAGGTACCAAAAGTGGAATGACCTATTTGTCATGGGACAAAAAGTGGTTTTGTTTTACCCCCTTTTTTACTGTAACATTATTTTCAATCATGTCATTTCCTTTAAAAGGAGACTCCAACCAGCTTCATCCATCCTATTGAAAGATATTGGCAATGTAGACTTCGTGGACGATAATGAGAAGGTGAAGGTGAGATCCTAAAATTTAGATCATGCCCTTTTATTTCTATTTGCAGTCTAGGGTTGTGCTGCATTCACCAATTACCCCCTCGATAATAATTGTGGTCAGTATCAATATTAAGACTAGCTTAAATGTACTGATCATTTACTTCATGAAATTTGTATTGGCTTTTCAAACTATTTTTTCTTGGGTTGTATGCCTGGAAATTCGAAAGGCTGTGTTTTAAAGTGGTTCTGACTAAATTCTTAGAAGTGATTTCATTACTTTTTTAAAGCAGCTTGGTCACCTGTGGTTTTGAATAATGAAAACTAATTCATATTGTCATTTTTAGTTTTTATTTTATTTCTTAGTCATTTTGTCTCATAATTTCATATTACCATTGCAACAATGTGAAACACATCAACTGGCTAAATTACTTTAGAATCAATGTCAGATCCATATGGATAAATATATTTCTCAATACCACAAATTGCTTATAATCATTTTGGATGATTAGGATCAGAATCAATTTAGTATTGACAATTCCTTGTATAATAATATGGGCTGTTCATATGACTGGCTATGTAACAGGGTACCAAAGGAGAAAGGACATCAGCAGCAATCAATGTGAGGAATATAAGTGATGGGAGTGTATCTCTTCTTCGTTTGTTGACGGACCAATTTCATTAGCTTGTTGGAAAATGTGATGTAAAGTTTTTTGCTGAAAACTATGTTGATGTAATTTCTACTGTTGTGTGCGCAATATAAATTTGAAAATGGTAAACATGCAGCTCAAGTTCATTAACTGTTGATTTTTCTTTCAAAGTCGAATACTTTAACTTCAATGAACCTTAAATCTGGTATTCTGGTATACCCTATCAAAGATGATTGTCTACTTTTAGGTTCAACTGTTCAAGTTATTCTTTTTCCCGAAAAAAATCTTTATATTTCTTATATCAAAGATGAATACTAGGAGAGCCTTGGCGCACGAGTTAGGATGTTGTGTGATCAAGGTCATGGGTAGGGGTGAGTTCGGTTCAAATGGTTCAGTTTTCACCTAGAACCAAATGCTGAACCAAAGTAAAAGGTTCCGTTCAGTTCTATGTTCAAAATATGGAATCACAGTTTGTTCGGTTCCGTTTATTTTGGTTTGGTTTTGGTTTTTTCAGTTTTTACCAAAATATTTTTGTTGATTAGAATTTAGAAAAGTAGTAATTGGATAACAAAAACAAAACAAATATTACATCAAATTATTATTAATAGTAATACAATACGAAAACATACATACTCAAAAAAGAAGAAAAGAAACAAATGCACTTCCAAACAATGAGTTAGAGAGTACGTGTATACCAATTTAAACATTTTCTAAATTAATTAAATGCATGAGTTTATTTGTGAATTATATATAGTGTATTCGCAAATTAAAATTCAATTAGTAAATAACTTGTTCTACTTTCTTCTTATATAAATATATTTATATTTTAAAGTTTCACATTTTTTGCTATGTTGTTTAAATTATAGTTTATATTACTCTCTCCGTCCTAAATTGTTTTGCAAAGTCCACATTTTTTTGTCAACTAACAATAAAAGTTGATGCTTGGTGTCGATAATTAATTCAATTTGGAAATCCCAAATTAGAATATAATTACAAATTGACATCCTAATTAAGGCAATATAATAAAACTGTTTGACCAAGAAAAGTCAAATTTGCAAATCAATTTGGGACTAAGGTATTAATACATATTTGTTCAATATAAAAAATTACGTGATAACAAACATACATAACATATAATATTTTGACAAAATATCATTGTCATGCAACAAAAAAAAATGTAAATTACAATTTAAAATATCAACATATTAGTATTATAGCGATAGACTTATGTGTATGTACAAGTGTTTGACTTAATTAAACCATAAATATTAAATGTCAATATCTTGGAAATCATAATAAATCTAGTATCAAACATTAATTTTCTAGAATTAAGGATTAATTACTATTTACTAAACAAAAAATTATACATAATGATTACTAAATAAAAGTTCAATTTATTCGGTTCGGTACGGTTTTGAGATGTGAAAACCAAAACTGAAACCAAACAACTACGGTTTGGTTCAGTTTTTTGAGTTCAGTTTCGATTTTCTTGCGGTTCGAGTTATTTCGATTCGATTTTCAGTTTTCGATTTCTCCGACCCATGCCTAGTCACGGATTCAAGTCTTGAGAGTTGTCTCTTATTAAAATAACAAGGGAAGATTTTGCTCCTTATACACCCTTGTGGGGACCCTTTCCTGGAGCCTCGCCTTGCAATGACTCTAATGTGCATTGGGCAACCACTTAAATATGCCACCTGATATGAATCACATCAAAAAAAGGCATCTCTTTCATTCACATATACTCCATATATATACAAGAGGGAAGCTAGGGTTACACTCATGACGGGCCAGTGCATATGGGCCTGAGCTATTGAGTAATGGACATCCATACTTACATAACACCCCCCCTTGGATGTACATTGCTAAATAAGAACATTACAAGAAAAATATGATGTTATACATTATAATCTCTATTGGATGCTACCTCGTTAAAAACCTTGCTGAGGAAAATCCAGTGGGACGAAACCTTGGTCAAGGGAAAAAGAGTGCAGCGTGTATATATACCCCCATGTTGACTGCATCACTTCAAGACTTCTTGTAGAATCCAATATAATATGGTGACCAACTCTTTGTAGCAAAAATTGAACTATGTGTATGCCTCATTAAAAACCTTATTGAAAAAACCTTTGGGAAAAAAACCAATCAAGGAAAAGAGTACATGATATATGTAAAACGATGTGTTGACTTGACTGCCTCATTAAAAACCTTTAACTAAGAAAATCATGTGGGAAAAACTTAGCAAAGGAAAAGAGTACAGGCACTGGCCTTTGGGGCCTAATCTTCTGGATTGCATTTGAATTAATCTTCTAGAGAAAAACAATACTCCGAATTTTATGTATCATAATATGTTATTTCAAAGTGACAAACTGCCTCGTTAAACCTTTGACCAAGAAAACCCCATATGGGACAAAACTTGGTTAAGGAAAAAGAGTACAATTGCATTTGGTCTTCGGGACCAGTCAAATGTTTGACCTCACAGGGATCAATTAAGACCTTCAGGGTACTATCTTGTGAACTAATATTAGAATCACTCTTCTAGAGGATAATAGTCTTCAGGTTGTTATGAATCTTTCTCATTCTTTAAAAACCACAAAATACCTTAAAAACCTTTGGCCAAGAAAACTCTTTAGGACAAAACTTGGCTAAGGAAAAGGAGAAATACTAGGTCTTCTGGACCGATTAATCATTTCACCTAAAATAACGGCTCATTATGTTTAGGCATATATATCTACCAAATTTACCAAAAATGTGGTGATAAATATCCTTGATATATCCTTGTTCTTATCAGTTTAAATATGCTTGATATATAAACCTCGAAAGTTCTTTGAGTGAAAGTATAATGAACCATCTCAACTCTTCAAGAGTATACCAATGTAAGTTCATCATTATGAGATATGTATTTTAACACAATCAAATTTAGTGCTAAAGACATTATGCATGTCAAACCATTCAATAATTGAACATTGTCAAATATTGGTCCATAAACCATTCAAACCATTTTTGTCATCCTCATAGGATTCAAACTCAATTTAGTATACAAGCACTTCGGGTGTTCACAATATAATGATTAGATATTTTATTTAGAGAAAATTATCCCTCATATGACTAAAAGATCATGTATTTCTCAATCTATGACCTAGTCACTTATTTTCCTAATTTGATGGGCGAAGTCACGTTGTATATGCATTATACGGAAAGTTCTCTTTCTTATTTTTCAGTTATGCTATCCACATTTGATGGCTTTTAGTCATCTTCTGATCAATCAAGTTTTTTGGTCATATAATGGGAAATTCTATTTCTTCTAGTAATATTGCAGTAAATTTCCCTTTTATTTATTATATAATCAAACACCATTCAAATCAAATGATTCTCATGTGTTGTTTCTAGGTTTATCTAGATGCTTAAAAGCCTCCAACACCATATAATTTGGTTCGTAATGTAATATATGTTTGTTAGTCCCTGTTTCTATAACAGCAATGAATAATCGATCTAACAAGGAAGATTAAACGTAAAGATGAACACAGAATAAATCACCGTAAAACCTTCTTTGATAAACCGTGGAACGTACAACAGAATGATATGCGTAAGGCTATGAATAATAAGTACGACGTTCAGCCTTTTCCTAAACCTCGGTTCCCTTTTTATAGGCGAGGTTTAGGTTAGGCGTACCGGGCTTTTAGCCTGTTTAAATGGGCCTAACACTTGGCCTGATTTCTATCTAATTTATGCACTAATTAAGTACAAGGATTAAATATAAAGCTAATCTATGACCAACTTGATTCACAATTAAATATCTCCAACAATCTCCCCCTTTGTGATCAAGTGACATTCTCTTATTGCTTCTGAGACTTGAAGTAGTGCTTCCTCATACCAAGTGCATGTTCATACTGCCTCAGCACATTTCTCTTTTCGAGGCGATCGTCAATGGCCTTTAAAATTGTCTCTACAGTAGAGTGTTCCTTTTGAACATAAGACGATGCCTCTTGAAGATTTTTCTCTAGCTTTGCCTTCATCTTTAGAATCTGCTCTTTGATTATCTTCAGTGTTCCGTCGCAGTACTTCTCAATCTCACTGACTACCATCAGACGCTTTTCGTTCTTGTGGTTCAGATAGGTGACTGCTGGCGGTGTGAAGAAGATGTGGTAGGCTGGGAAATCTTCAAGTTCTGGATCATACAGTCTTGGCTTTGTCAGATTTGTTTTCTTCAGATTGCACTCAATAGCCATTTGTAGGTCATGTGAAGAGTGTACTCGGATTTGTCTAAGCATGAATCTCTTGATAGTTGCGAGGCCTTCGCTGTATATTATGCTCTGCCTGACTGGAAGGTATCTGTAGGCCATGAACATTTGGTAGATGTCATCCGGTTTCAGCATGATGAAGTCGTTCTCTTGACAAGTAAATTCGCTCCCATCGGTGCGTTGAAGTCTGTAAGTGTAGAATGTTACTCCATGATAGTCTTCAGCCTTCACTTGTAGAATTTGATGAATTGGGAGAATATTCGACTTCAGATCTTGTTCCATCAGTTCTCTCTGTGTACCGGTTGACCTTTGTAGCAACATATGCAGATGACCTCCAACCTGCTTTCCTTTCAAGTGAGTAAGGCCTCTTAGCTTCAGTTCATTTAGTCGTTTGACTCTGTCTGGTCTACGCCAGATATGCTCTCTGATTTCTTCTTGGAAGGGGGCTTTGATACGAACATTATCCCAGGGTTTCTCTGTCTTGGGAAGTCTTCCCGCTGTTTGTCTTACGACTGATTCAAGAGTCTTCTGGGATTCTTTGTAATTCTCCCCTTCCTTGCGTTCATCGTCCTCGAGCCGTATAATATCTTCAGAGCATTTGTTGATCAGCTCTCGTAGCCACCAGTTTCTTTGCATGTCCTCTTGTTCGGCTTCAACCCGAAGATCATCCCATTCTGTCCATTTTCTTGGCCATTTGTCATATATCACCGCCTCTTCTAGTGCATCATGGATGTCTTTGCCTGGGGAAATATATGGAATTCTTTGTTCAGGCGGTGATTGTTCCTGTGTAGCACTACCGGGTTCGCTAGGATTGCCCGTTGACATCAGCTTAGAACTGGGTTCCAACTGATGGCCTGATGGAGAAGATGTACCAGTGGTAACATCATCAGGACTTCCATCCCCTCCTCGGTTGGTATCTCTGGGAGATACGCCTCGGGATGTTATTTCTAGCTCGACCATGCTAGATAGTTTGGCTGTGGATGGTGGCT